TCCTAAATTCCACCATAAAAAATATTTAGGTGACGACTCTGTATCTGGCAAAGCAGTCCATGTTTGGCACTTCTTTTCAAAAATCTGTTTCTTAAAACGATTTGTCAGATTTGGACTCTTTGGTTCAGATTAAGGACCGTGACACAAATTGAGTTCGAATTGTAGTGAGGCCCACGGGCGCGTCTACACATTAGAGAAAAATTTTTGTATTCGCTCATTTGAGCATTGCGATTAAGATCTTCGGGCAACAGCAAGGAGGTGGAAAGGGCAACGCTGGCCTCAATGTTGTTGGTGCTATCACCAGCCTTAACCGGCTTGTCATTGATTGTAATTGGCGGGGCCTAGGGGGAATCATGTTTTAATGGCCCCGAGGTGGTCGTAGAGGGCAACCTCGGCCTCTTTGATCTAGTGGATTCGGATGGTTGGGCATCGACAGGCCACTTCTTGGCAGCAGAAGGGGTTTTATCGCTCTTGGCCAATTTAGAAATTGGCAAGGTGTCCTCAGTGTCAATCTGAGTCACCGTTGCCTTGGGCTGAGCTTTCTTCAGATGTTTTGGCTTTGGCTTTGGTTGAGGCTGGGTTTGTGCTGGTTAAGCATCAACTAAGTCAGGGATGTTGGCTAAAAGATTGTCAGCGACAGCTTTCTTGCGACCCATCTCGGCGAAAATTGCAGTTCTACGGCAGCGTTGGCGTTTAGATGGTGGGATTAGATATGGAGCCGAGGTTGACAGCTGCTTTGCTGGATCAGAGGTCGATCCTTGATTTGGCCGAGATGTTGAAGTGATGGAAGGAGTAGTGGCGGAAGGAGGAGACTGACTCTTCTTCTTCTTTTTTGGAACGTCGGGAAGAACCGACTTGTAAGTAGGAATGAAATTGAGCAGCGGAGAGGCTCTCCACTTGTGGACTGGCAAATCCAATAGCTTCTTCAAGTCCTTGCTGGGAAAGAAAGACTTGCGAAAGCCCTTTGGTGGCTGGAGAAGAACTGCAAAAAGAAGAGCACAGACATTAGAACAAAATATTGAAAACTTTTAAAAAAAGAGCAAAAAAAAGTGACACTTGGCCCTTACCAGCTCCTTCCCCGAAAATTGTTCGGCTTAGGGGATAAAGGTGGAGGTCATTGTTTGTCTGAAACTCCCAGTTACCCGAGACGATGAAGTAATCGTTTCCAGCACCCTTGTTTGAGTCTGGGAGGTTGGCAATGAGCTTGTACTCAGTGGACCTCGGCTTGAGGTAATAGATGTGACCTTTTTCCGATTTCAGGCGATACATAGTGTAGCAGTACTGGGTATCGGCAAGAGTAACCGTAGCATTCTCTTGTTTGGCTAAGGCTATTATACCATTAATAACTCGGTAGGAATTCATGGCAAGCTGCATTGGGTTCAATTTATAATAATGAAGGATTTCTTGGAAAAAGGTGTCGAGGGGAAGCCTAAGTCCATACTCGATAAAGGCCACTACTGGGAAAGACATGAGGTTCACATCAGGCATAATGGAATCCTTCTCCCCTGCAAACCTGAGGTGGACGTCGGTAATGATGGAAAACTCCTGCCTAAAGTATTCTAATTTGGTTGGGGTGTCTATCCTATGCTTCCACATACCCATGACATCGGCTTAAGAGGAATGTGTATAAATTGGAAATAAAGTGTTCTATAAAGGCTCAGAAGACCTCGGCAAAACCTAAAATTCACGCTGGGGTAACAATCCGTAAAGATCAGAGGGGGATTTGTTTTAGTTTTTCCTGAGATTCGTGTGTTCTAGGGCAAATCTCAAACCTAAGTCTAAGCAAACGGAGATTGAAGGCAAGAATCTGGAGAAAATACAGAAAACACAAACAAGAGCAATGGTTCAGAATCAAGAATAGTGGTGAATCATCAAGAACACTGTGACAGAGTGTGTGCAAATGTGAAAGGCCAAGAACAGTGGCAAAAGTGAACAAATTTGTTAGCAATGTGTGAATATTCAAGAAAGGATTGGGCAAAAACAGAATCACAAAGCAAACATACTCAAACACATGGTGAAAATTAAGGTACAGATTAAAATGATCGAAGACATGAGCAAGTTTGCAAAAATGAAAGAGTTCGAGGTAAATCAAGAACTGAAACCAGGAGGAACAGTGGCTTACCAAAAAAAGTGAGGCCGGTGTGGGGATTGTCGAAGTCAGACGACGGTGGCAAAAGCAATAGAGCGGTGAAAATCATGCCGGAAGAGGCGAATGGAACAAAGTTGCAGAGCTAGGAAAGCTTGAATAATGGCAAGTTTTGGAGAAAAGGTTAGAAAGAGAAAAAACTTCAGAAACAATGGTGTAAAGTGAAAAGACGAAGAGAGGAATGACGTTTTGTCTAAAACACAAAAACGGTGGCAACGAGGCAATTAATGTGCCTAAAACGACTTATGCGTCAGGCAGCGTACACGAGAAAAATTCGACTTACAGGCACGTATCGAGTATGATCTAGTGAGGAGAAGACGCGTGGCAGAAACGGTTGATTTATTTTGCGTGACAGCTCATACGCGTGATAAAACTCTTGGAGTTCTTGGTTTAAATGAAGCAATGACATCGGCTTATAGGAAGATCTCGGCTAAATAGCTCAAATGAACTAGGTTATTGGTCCTAAAAGCCTTGATGAGATAGACTACAAGATCTGATCGTGTGAAGTCGACGTATTATGACCTCGGTAAATGGATGATACAACAAGATAGCCGACATGAACGATATAGATTCCATCACCTCAAGATGCCGAGATAATAAAACCTAGGGGGCAGTTGTAGGGATATATTTTCTGAGTACCAACACGTGGCCAAGGTGACGCCGATGTGTCAACCGGGGAGCCACGTGTCCTGGTTGTGACGCTGAGGTGATCTCGGCTAGGCCGAGGTTATCTTCGAAGATATCGGAGTCCGGGATAAGCGGATAAGGGACAAGAGTCCTAGAATGAGGAAGGACCTCAGCCAGGATAAGGATAAAACTTTTAGGGAATTTATCTTTATCTATTGGAGAGTCCAAGATAAGCACTGAGCAGAAGTGTATTGAAGCTAGGCTTCTATTGGGACTAGGATTGAGATGGCTATAAAAGAGAGGCACCCCGTCCGCAATTTGTACTCTGAATAGTAAATTGAGCACTTTTTCTATCTTTGAGAGATAATTGACTTGATCATCGAAGTGCCCCCGGGTGGACGAACCACCGCCGGAATCTCTTCTTTCTGTTGCAGGTCATTCAGGAGCCATCTATTCTGCTAGTGTTCTCCAGCTGAATACTGAATTGACAGTGTGGTCAGAAATTCACTCACACAAATTCCACCCCTAATAATGTGAAATTAGAGAGATTAAAAATGAGAATGAGAAGAATGTAGAATTGCTTCATGTTTGAGGTGGAATTGAGGGACAAAATTAGGGGATGTAAGAGTATCCCCATAATGGTACATATACATATACCGTATTTTATTCAAATTGTGCATTCCCTATTTTAGGTGATCACTTTTTCAATTACTTTCTCCAACAATACTCCTTATTCTTTCTCTCTATTTTGTTTAAATATTATTTTATTATTCCTTTTCAATTAAACTTATTTTTTAAAAAATTAATGTGACAATTAGATTAGAGAGAGTAAAGAGAAAAAGAAAGAGAGAGAAATTAATATTATATGTTTAGGAAATGAACAATAGCTTTCCACATATAAGAAATTTTAATATTAGCCGTTGTAGCATTTCTTAAATTAAGAATTTTTTTAGAGTTTGTTGGGGATGTTTTTTAGAGTTTTCACTCCTTAAAATAGCTAAAAATTGATAGGGTAATTATTTAGTGTTCCTTGAATATGTAATATGGACATGTGGTGCTTCATAAGGTTTTGATTGGTAGAGCGAGGTAGGGGCCCGCGATTTATGTTGGGGATGAGAAACAACATGGGAGCTAAGTAATTGGTAATTGACTTGAAATATAGCCACGTAATATTCCAGGATTATTAAATAATTTTCCAAATTGATATTTGCAATGCTCTAACACCACTCTTTAAGGACACTTGCTAATAACATTATTTATTAATGCACACCACCATGTTAAAGAAGTGTAAACAGTATTTTTGAAATTATGAGAATTATATTGGGTATTTTGATTGAAAATAAAAAAATCATAATAAATCATACTATTTTGTATAAAATTATTTATAATTTTTATTGTTGTGTGTATATCATTATTTATTTCAAAATTCGAAAAAAAACATATGGACAGGTCATTAACCCATTACTATCATCACATGCCCCATTATCAATAAGTCTAAGGATCTAAACTTACAATTTCAAATTTGTATAAGAAATGGAAATGTGTAGTTTATATGCAGAATGAATCTAAACTAGATAGTAATGTTTTTAGATAATCTGTAGATAAATTTTAGAATTCCTAAAATTATCACCCCATTATTGTGTTTTGTATTTTACAAATGTATTGTAAGATTTATATACAGAATGAATCTAAACTACAAAATAATGTTTTTAGGTAATTTTTAGATAAGTTTTTGAATTTGTGATATTATCACCCCATTATTGTGTTTTATATTTCACAAATCCTGATTAAGTGTTTTAGATTCCTAACAACAATCACAACATCAAAGTTTATCATATTATCAAATTAGAGTTTTCCTCCTTTTTAGCCAGGCGAGCTTTTATGGTTCGTGGGGATTGAGTGCTCCTCACGCAATTCCGAGGGAGGTGGGGATTGAGAAACTTGTACGTTGTACATGGCCTAACAACAGCCATCAAACAAAAAAATTAAAAAATTAAAAAAATAAGCCATCAAACTTTTTCTCACGCAAGAAAATTCTCTATCTATGATCATGAATTCAAACGAAAAGAGAGAAGAAGAGTTTAAAAGGACTTGTTTGGATCATGGACTATTTCAACGCCACCTTAAACATGGTTTTGTGGTTTCATTTATCGTTAAATCTTACAGCTTTTGTGACCAACGACCACTTCTTCTACTTCTTCTTCCTCGAACTTTCAAGATTCATCTCTTACACAAACATATGCATAATTACCCATTAAAAAAAAAAACCGTTTATTAATTCTTGGAGTTTTGAGGCCTATAAATAGATGACATGTATAGAGGAAAGATCAAACTACCATATTTGAAACTTGACTGCCCTCTTATTTCCTCATCTCACAAGTGCAAACATTCCTTTTATATTATAGTTGTGCGAGTTATAAAATTAACTATCTGGTTTTTGATCAAATTTCATTAATGGAGAGAGCTTCATCGCTTCTTAAAATTCAGCCTCCAACTTATGGAAACTTAATCACCATTCTCAGCATTGATGGCGGTGGTATTAGAGGAATCATTTCTGCCACTATCCTCACTTACCTTGAATCCCAACTTCAGGTTTATTCTCGTTTCTTTATTGTCAAAATTATTTTTTAATTAACATGATTATTACTTTTCTTAAATTCTATGTAGTTATTTTTTTTTATTGTCACTTCCTATGGTTAGGATTTTGTTGTATAATGTTCCTAATTCCAAAAAACATGATTGATGATCAGGAGCTCGATGGTGAGGATGCAAGACTTGCAGATTACTTTGACGTGATTTCGGGAACAAGCACAGGTGGTCTTGTAACGGCCATGTTAGCTGCTCCAAATGAAAACAATCGTCCTCTCTTTGCCGCCAAAGACATCAAGCCTTTCTATCTTGAGCACGGTCCCAAGATTTTCCCACAAAAGAGGCACGCTTGATGGTTCTTGCCTTCACTATGCAAAAGATCATCATTTAGTGTACAAAAATACAACTAACTCACAAATAATTTACGAATGAGATACAAATAAAATCTCCCATAATATGGGATTCATATATTATGCGAGTGTCTGTATTCTATTTTGTAATTTATTTCAATGTTAGTAGAGCTTAAATGATATTATCTTTGGCATTTTCATGGATTCATCACATGTGTGTCTAATGAACTTGTGTTTTGTTTCAATGGCAGAGGCATGTTTAGATCACTTAGAAACACATTAAAGTTGTTAGTAGGACCCAAGTATAATGGAAAGTATCTTTACAAGGTTATAAAGGAGAAACTTGGAGAGACTCGGTTACATCAAACCTTGGCCCATGTTGTTATTCCAACTTTCGATGTCAAACAAATGCAACCAACCATTTTCTCCACTTATGAGGTCTTCTTCTCTCTTTCTCTTTAAAATTACTGTCAATAATAAATAATAAAATTATTCATTAAATTTGAACAAATAAATAGTGAAAATTTTAATCACACTTGAAGTGGTGTGTTGATAATTACCATTTCTCTATAACTTTAAAATTTTTAGATATCTTAAAAATTAAATTTTTAAATAATTTATAGTTAACCATTTATCTTACTACCGTACCATAGAACTTGACTGGATTTTTTTTCTTCTTCTTTTTCTCTGGGAACTGTTTTAATTAAGGACTTGTACTCTATTCCACAGTCTTTATGTGACTGTGGAATGTTTGTTATTTTCTTCTAAAATAAAATAAGACAAGTTGAAAGGTCTAAGTTACAGAACTATAAATGGATTCAAATTCAAAAAGTTTTATAAAAAAATATCTTGCTTTAATGAACATGAGAAATGGATCAACTGAAATGTGAACTGTGTTTTTCAAATTCAATCGCACATCATCCAATCATCTATTAGATTTGTGGCCAAATAACTAACTAATTTTAAAAACATTTTTTGAATATATATGGTTTTTTTGTTTGAAAGAACAACAAATGCTATTTAAGTGATATTATTTTGACTCAATAAATATTTTGGTTTCATCTAATTAAATCAGTGATAATATTTTGTATAAAAATTTTGTTTATATAATGTCAAACTTTATATATATATATATTTATTAAAGATTTTTATTTCCGAATTCTTGCAGGTCAAAAAATCTCATTGTTTGGATGCTCGATTGTCTGATATATGCATCAGCACATCGGCAGCTCCAACTTATCTTCCAGCTTATCAATTCGAGAACCAAGATGAGGAAGGGAATGTTCGGGAATTCAATCTAATTGATGGTGGTGTAGCTGCAAATAATCCGGTATAATTTTTACTAAAATTGATTTTTAACTCATTCTAGTTGTTTTGTATTTCAAGTTTAAACAGATTTCAATGAAGCACTAAACTAACTTTCACAGCATTATTCATGTTTTGGAAATATGATTTTAGGCTTTGGTTGCAATAAGCCAAGTGACCAAACAGGTCTTTGATGAAAATCCAGATTTCTTCCCAATTAAGGCCATGGACTTTGGTCGCTTTCTAGTGATTTCAATAGGCACTGGCTCGGCAAAGGTGGAACAGAAGTACACTTCTAAAATGGCAGCCAAATGGGGTGTTTTGGGTTGGTTGCTTCATGGTGGTTCCACTCCATTAGTCGATGTATTTACTCAAGCAAGCGATGATATGGTTGATTTTCATATTTCCGTGGTTTTCCAAGCTCTTCATTCTGAAGATAATTACCTTCGAATTCAAGTAAGACTGTTTGACTATGTTTTCATTTTTCGCTTTCATTTTAAGTCATTCAGATTTTAAATTTAGTGAATTTAAAGTTCATGGTATTAATTATTTTAATTGAATGTAATACTAGGAGGACTCATTAACTGGGACAGACTCTTCTGTTGATGTCTCTACAAAGGAGAACATGGATAGACTTGTGGAAATTGGAGATAATTTATTGAAGAAACCTGTTTCTCGGGTGAACTTGGAGACAGGCCTCTCTGAGCCAGTTAAAAACGGTGGCACAAATGAGGAAGCTTTGAAAAAGTATGGAAGCAATACAAACAATTTTATATAATAAAAAATGCTACATACCCAAAATGAAAGAATATATATTTTTTGAAAAATACCCAGAAAATGAAATTTATAGTATGACTCACTACAATAAATTTGAATCTACACTATATATTTCATTTTTTGAAAACTTTTCAGAATTCTTTCTTGGGTATTTTTTTTCCATTATGCAATTTAATTATTTTAGGTATCAATTATTAATTTTTATTTTTGTTAAATCACAGTACTAAATTAATTCTGGTCTTCATGCGTTACAGGTTTGCTAAAATACTTTCAAATGAAAGGAGACTCCGAGAGTTGAAATCACCACACACCAATAAGGGTTTTGGAATTTCTCCACAATTTAATTGAGGACAACAAAGAAGTGCTTCAATTATTGTACTCTAAAGATTGTAATGGTTTTTGTTTTTCATTTTTTTAGAAGGTTGTGAAGAATTGTAATTTAATTTACGACAATGCTACGTAGCTCAAATTTTGTGACTCAAAAGTGGCTCAAATGGCCAAAACGACGTCGTTTTGAGTACAGAACAACATAAAAATGGCCAAAACGACATCGTTTTGGCCATTTGAGCCACTTTTGAGCCACAAAATTTGAGTTACGAGACATTTTCCTTTAATTTATTATGTTGATTTCTTAATTATTTGTCATATTTGCTTTATGTACCTTAAAAATTTGTTATTCATTAATTATTTATGAATGAGAATAATCGCCGAAAGTTGTGTACTTTTTTGCTAATGAATTGGTGCTTTGTGGAGGTGGAAAGTGACCCGGCCGAGGGATTTTATTTTATTATGGTGGGTATTTAGGACTAGGTCTTTAATCTATCTATATATTATATAAATAACAAGTTATTTTTAACCTACAAATCTTATGAGAGTTTCTGAGAGGGTAAAATGTGTGAATATGGGCCGAGCTAGGGCCGAGTAGGAGTGAGCCGAGCTGTGGGCCGAGATAGGGCCGAATAGAAGTGAGTCGAGCTATGGGCTGAGTAGAATGGGCTTTGCCGCTGGGCCCAGGTAGCTCGGTCATTAAATGATTAAGATGGCCCGGATAAGGTTGATTGCTGAATCGAGGTAAATGAAGTTAATTAAGAGATGGTGACCTGCTAGAAGGAGAGCTCGCGTTAAACCCACCTCTTAAGTACGTGTTAGCTCGGTTGTTTGTCACTAGGCCTGTAAATGGATCGGATTCGGATCGGATCTGTCAAAATTCAAATCCGATCCGATTAAGATAAACCCGAATCCGATCCGAATCCGATCCATTTATTTATTTATTGAGCTATAATTTTATATAATTTGAAAAAAAAATTTCATTTTGTGTTTTTTTATTCAAATTGAGAATAATCGGATCGGATTGTCGGATTATCGGATCGGATCAGATTTTTGCAAATTCAATCCGTTTAATAAACGGATTAAACGGATTCGGATTGTCGGATTATCGGATCGGATTTTTTTGTAAACGGATTCGGATTATCGGGCCGGGTTCGGATTAAATCCGATCCATTGACAGCCCTATTTGTCACACTACCGAGGTAAAACCATTTCACTTAGTTAAAGCAGTAAGGAAGGTGTTGAAGGATAAACATTATCTTTCAGAGTGTGATTCCTAGGAGGACTCTACATTGGAGCATAAGAGTTCTACTAGGATTGTGCTAGGCAAAATCCATAAAAGCTCGTAAGAGGACTTATGGAAAGGTATCAAAATTTTTACTCTTAAATACACAGAGCTTTTTGTCTATAGTTTATTTGCTGACTTAGGCATCGGAGGGATTTCCGGCACACACCCGTTGGCTAGCTCATGTTTGTGTTTTTAGGAAGTAAAGCGACGATATTTGGAGGAGCGCAAACTTGATCAACAGGGTCATATGAGAAGAATTATTTCGTGCTCGTACAATTGGCGTCGTCTGTGGGAACTTCACAAGGAACAGAACCTCTTGATCAAGTTGACCTCTCCAGTTGGAAGCTATGACGCAAAATGATGACTTGCCGCAATCTGCCATTGATGGGCAAACCTCGGAGGGGGGTGGGAGGCGCGAAGGTTTACCTTCCATGCCTCCCATGGCGGATTTAGAACCCCAGCGACGAAACTCCCGGAGGGACACGAGGGAGAGATAGGGCACTAGCCCCCATTGTTCTCAAAGTCCTGAAAGACAGAGAAGAAGGTTGGATCCTCAAGTTCTGGAGGATCATGTGAGGGAGCAAGACAAATTAATAAGGAAGATGGCGACATACATAGAGACAATAAAATGCCAGATAAAGGGGAAGGAGGTGGCGATTGGAGAGGGGCGCAAAGGTAACACGCCCTCTCGCCACCCTGAGGATTGTGGCAGACATATCACGCTATCACAAGCTGAAAGTAAGAGCCTTAGAACAGGCGATACTCAATCAATGACCTCCAGGACTCGTCGCTCCAGGTCTAAAAGAACGAAGATTGAAAAATCATATACGGAAGGAAGCACCTATCGCCTCTCACACACGCACCAGACGACATCTAGGCACACAGAGTTTCCTAGGTCGGCGGATTTACGAACAGTGCTTAAAGTGAGGGCCCGACAGAAGGAGGACACCAGGGCCCGCGACCCTCACAGAATTTCAGCACTAAAGCGGTTGGCCCCTAGAACACATAGGAGTGTCGAGGTAGGGATGTCAATACCGCGCCTTGCCTATGAACCAGCAGATAAAGTATTGGCAAGGTTACAGAGCTCACCGATCGTTCTGATAATAGAGAACGCATCACTACCTGCAGGCTTCCACCAGCCTAAATTCACCACCTATGAAGGGAAGACAGACCCCTACATGCACCTAAGCCACTTTCGCCAGGTTATGGCAGTATACCGGCGGAACGAGGCCTTAAAATGTATCCTATTTCCATCCAGCCTTGGCGACCTAGGTTTAGCCTAGTTCGAAAGGCTACCAGAAAGCAGCATTGTCTCGTGGGCACAATTAGCAGAGGCGTTTGTGACCAGATTCAGAATGAACACTAAGACACCAGTGGAGGTCGATCAACTACTCTCCATTGACATGGGTGATAAGGAGACACTGAGGTCTTACAATAGTTGCTATTGGGAGACCTTCAATCAGATTAGGGATTGCCCTACAAATCTCGCCATCGTACAATACAAACGGGGTTTACCAGTCGAAAACAAATTGAGGGACTCAATCACTATGACGCCACCCCTCATGATGGAGGCCCTAATGGAGAGGGTGCATCAACATATCCGTGTAGAGGAAGACAGCGCTCGCGCTAAAACAAAATCTGGCACAACAGCAATACCAGATAAAAAGACTACAGCAAAAGTCAACACAGTGGAACAGCCACGCAGGAATGGGCGAGGCAGGCGAGCCAATAGAGAAGACCCAGAAAAAAGGAACTTAAGAGTCCGCACTGCCATCACCATCGTGTTCAATAAACCCATCTACCGGATTCTCCGCGAGATACGGAATGAAACCCTTCGTTCAGTGGCCAGCTAAGTTAGGAGAATTACAAAGGGGCTACGACGAGAGGTCCCGTTGTACCTTCCATGATGAGAAGGGGCATCGCACTGAAAATTGCACACCCCTGAGGCAACATCTGGAAGAGTTGGTAGCTGTGGGTCACCTGGATTAGTACATAGAAGGGGGAACATAGCCAGTCCCCCCAGGACCTCAACAAAGCAAACGGGATGCCAGCCGACGGTCTGCCCCAAGGCATAATCAACGTCATTCATGGGATCATCGAACCAGAGCGAGTATGTGAACTCAGGGAGATGATAAAAAAGGCAGAGCACTTGAAAGAGGTGCTAAGTGCACAACCTACCGTCAAAAGGGACAGAACGGAAGCCACGAATGTCATATCCTTCTCAGACAAAGATCTAGCAAGGTTACATTACCCTCGCAATGACGCACTGGTGGTAACTTTGCGCGTTAAGAATTTCGACATCAAACGGATTCTGATTGACCAATGAAGCTCTTGTGAGATAATGTACTACGAAACCTTCAAGCAACTGAAACTGGAGGACAAAGACTTGGCACCTGCAACATCTCCCTTAGTCGGTTTCAACTCAATGCCAGAATGGCCCGTCGGCAAGATCATCCTACCAGTCAAAGCAGGATCCGTAACAAAACAGGTGGAATTCTAGATATTGAAGGTCTCTTCTACCTACAACATAATCCTAGGGAGAACATAGTTGCACGCCATGCGATCGGTAACGTTAACCTACCATCAAGCATTGTGGTTCTCCAATGAAGCCGGAGTAATTGAAGAAGTCTTGGGAGACCAAATTATGTTGAAACAGTGCTTCGTCACAGTAAATGACAATCAGGCTGCAAAAGAAGAGATAACAATTATGAATAAAAGCTGAGCAAACAGATGATGTAAAATGAAAGATGGTTAAAAGGAGCACTTACCAGCACTATTGACTTCGTCGCCGACCGGATGACCTTCAGCTCGGTCAAATGGTCATGATGTTCCATGTCAGAGGGCAAGCACACGCTCTTAGCCAGGTTAAAAGCGAGTGTATGGTCTTTGTCTGCTACCATTGAGTCTGTGTTTTTTATGGCTTGGTTCCTGTATGTTAGTTTTGGGGCCCACTTTGAAGAGCTAGCTCGGTCAGAACGCTCGGGTTCTGGGCTTGGTGGCATGGTTTGAGGAAATAGAGTGTCATCTTCATCAACAAGGTGTGGCTCGGTCGAAGAGGTGCGAGCACGCTTATTGGGCCGAGATGATGAGGCTCGGGCTGTTGGAAGGGCTATTACGGCCTCATGTGTTTGGCCAGCTTGTGGTATCTCGGTTTGGGCGTCGACAGCTGGAGTTGTTGTTTCGGTGATATGTGCTCTGACTGCTCTTTTCTTAGCCATTTCTTGTTCCTCTGTTAGTGGGATCAGCCTAATTTGAGGAAGTGCGGGATCTGGTTTAGGGGATGGCGCAGGGAGAAAGTCGGCTACCCTGGTTTTTCTCCTTTCGCTGTATCTGTAGGTTTGCTCGAAGTTAAGTAGCTCGGCCCAACCTCGATCGAGGTATCGAAGCGAGGCGCAAAGAGCGTCCAAGTTGGGGTATTGATATTAAGAAAAGGGCGGGACTGTTCAAAAACAACTTTTGGTGTACAAAGACAGCTGCACTTGACTAGTGGTAGCCAACCACGTGTCCCTCGGAATGGGTAATGGTTCAGACGTACTCGAGAAACGGGGACGACGTACAGGGTAGTTGACAGGATGTTTATGGACCGGACTCATCAGTAGCTCAGTAGAAAGTAAGCTCGGACGGTCTGAATGTTTCTAGCTCGGCTGAAGAAGGATAATCCCAAATCATGCATTGCAGATGGCATTAAGGGGTAATTGAGAGGGTAAAATGTGTGAATATGGGCCGAGCTAGGGCTGAGTAGGAGTGAGCCGAGCTGTGGGCCGAGATAGGGCCGTATAGAAGTGAGCCGAGCTATGGGCTGAGTAGAATGGGCTTTGCCGCTAGGCCCAGGTAGCTCGGACATTAAATGATTAAGATAGCCCGGATAGGTTGATTAGCACGGGCCTGTACGGTAATGGCTTCGGATTACTGGTCCTGTATACGATGTACTAAACCCTAGTGGGCGGGTCTGTAGCGATCGAACCAAGGTATGCAGACAACAAACCAGAGTCGATAAACATACTAAGAGCCAGTTTAACCAAGCCTCCATCTAGCAAGGATTGTCTCCTACTCATGGGATTCTGCTGTGGTTACGACAATTCCGTTTCATTTACCT